TATTGGACAGCAGGAAAGTGTTCTCAGTTCCGCAGATTCAGCGTGCCCGTAAAGGCTTTGGAGAAAGGCCCATACAGTAAGAAGCACAACATTTTGAGAATTAGATTTTACCCGGAAACAAGTGAGAAGCAGATAAGGGACATCAATTATTTGAATTGCTTTGTGTAGGATTGACAAAGCAAGAGCAAACACAGGAGGGGACATAGAAATAAAGTCAAATAAAAAGGAGTGAAATCAAAATGAGCGTAGTAGTTAGATATTCAATAGTTCTCTCCGGGTACTTCGGCTTCCTCCAACCATCCAAATAAATGGTAATGGAAACTCTAAACTGACCACAGGAATGAATGGGAGTGTGAATGGTTGCTTGTTTGTCTCTGTGTGCACCAAATTAAAAAAGATGGGGGGAAAATCATCTCCGAATAAAGAGTCAAGCTAACTCTTAAAGGCAGTGAAAGTTTATGTGAGGTGGTGTCCCTTACTTCACTCGCAGAGTGGTTCTTTTCATACAGACAAGAGAACAACCCAAAGATGAAAACCTAATCTCAGACTGGGAGGTTTTTTGTGAAAGTGATCCTTCTGTTAACTGTTTGTTTAAAACCTGACGGGCTACAAGAGTCCCTCTGACAGTATCTATTCATCTCTGGGCGTCACAGAAAAACCACAGAGGGGTATAGAAACAGGGAGGCAGGGAAAGACTGATGGTGAGAGGAAGACCAGCACAGAATAAATGGGAGATTTGTATGTTAACAGAGGATGAGATTTACCGTTAGCTTTGAAACATCTTCAGATCATCCCAGAAGCAAATTTTAGAAATTCATCTAGCGAGTGACTGAATGAGGGCTGATGTTTTCATCACTTTGGTTTTAATTATATGTCTCACTCAGCACAGTCTTCCTTATACCCGACTAATTTAGATTGAGATCCTTCCAGGCTTCCCTCTATCTTTCATTTCCCTCCCCTTCTTCTCTCCTCTCTGCATCACATCAGCCCCTTTGTAGAAAAAAAAGAGGAAGGAAAAAAAAAACCTTCATGTCTGTGACTTTCTTGCCCTCCAGCATATGAAGCCCTCTTTTATTTTGATCATCGCAGCACAATGGATTCATGCCATTCTGGCAACTTTATTCAGTATCAGCCCAAATTTACATACTGCTTAACAAGTTTGTGCGTGACTGTTGATGCCTCTGATCAAAGTGCTTTTGGAAATCTTTCTCATCTGATTTTTTCCCCGTCCTTCATTTCGAATGCATGCTGTAGACAGGCATCTTTAACTCAGGGGCAAAGAAAGGTAACCTTACTGCTGCACAAGCCCAAATGTCATCCAACAAGGAGGGCCCATGTCCTGGGGATAAAGATAATGTAATCTAAGCAGTATACAGTGTGTGACTGTGTGTCTTTGAGTGCGTGTAGCTACCCTCGCCTCGGTGTTTGTTGGAGGCTTGGGTTTGGGGGCGCAGGGAGACAGGGGATGACAAAAGTCAAAGCAGTCATGTGTCATTTTGGGTGCTGAAGGGCTGGGACCTGCCTGCAGGGCTGTCCTCTCTGTCAGACGCACTCAGATATCTGCGCTGAACTCTCTTGCTGTCTCTTTCTTTCGCTCTCTCCATCCTTCTCTCTGTCTTTATCTGAAGCACGCGCGTATATGCAGCTGCACGTTCAGGCGCCAACACACACACACACATACACACAACAATTTGATGCTCTAAGAAACATACGAGGTATAGGTATGGCATTTCCACACAGACTTTTAAACCACAGTCATTCACTTTTTATGTGCATTATACAACCATTCATTTCATTTTCATCTTGGCGCTCTTTTTCTCTCACTTGACTGTTTGTGTCAATGCAACAGCTATGTACTGGAAAAAGGATTGTCTTCCATTTCCAATCGTACAACATGTAACCCAGCATGTAAAGATGAGGCTGTAAATCAAGATATCAGAGGCCACGCTTCAAGCCAATGGCCCATAAAATATCCCCATGAGAGAAAAAGGTGGAGGCATCGAACTGTAGGAGCCCTCATGTACCCACACCCCCTCAGTTTCAATATACGTGTATATATTTTGAAATATACACATACATACATCTATACACTATATATATTTAGATATATAGATATGTATTGTATAAGAGTGTGTGGACATAAAAGCAAATAACAGAATTGGGAACATTAAATAAGTGAGGAAGAAAAATGGATTCAAAAATACAATGAAAAGAGGGTGTGGGTGGAAAGAGAGGAATCGTGGGAATGCAAGATTGCACCTCCCTCAGGCAATCAAATTATCCTATGGGCCGATGGTTCCTCCTTATGCGCCGGCTGACATTTTCCTGTAACCCCATCCTGAGTAATGCTATGTGATGTGTGTGACTGGCTTCTGCCATGGCCCTGAGAGGCCACGGTGCCCTGGGGCCATTTGCTTTTGGCCCGCAGCATCTGGGGAATTGTTTATTTTAGCTGCCTGCTCATTTTTGACTCTCCCTCTCATTTAGCCTGCCTCTCCTGTTTTTCCCGTCCAGGCCATTGGTGTCTACTTTCAATTAGAGAAGGATGCGCATCGGGGCATTCTTCTGGGAGACAAAACCCATTGACAGGTGACTCTTAAGGGGTAACTTTAAACCATGCCTTTAGTCTCTTCACACAAACTGTTAGTATTCCAGCGCCTTTCAAGGGACACAAAGGTAATGACAACAGAAGATGCTCGTGGTATCTGTTACTCAGCTATATTTTGCTCGGTGGAATAAGAGCAGAGGGTGTGTTCAAGAAGAAAACAGCTAAAAAAAAATCAATGTGTGCCGTACATGAGGCAGAGAGTGAGGCAGGGAGAGAAAAAGGAAGAGATTTAAGGACAGAAAAGATAAGATGTGTGATACGAGATAATAGAGATATTCAAAATACAGGCCCGAAGCTAGAAGTTAAAAGAGAACATTAAAAGAAAACATATTTGGATCACTTATGGATTTGCAAGCCTGCACACCACTATATTCAAACTTCATACTGATGCAGAGCCCCACGGGGTATAAGTGGAGGCCAGCCATTCCTTCATGCACAAATAGTGTATGTGTGTAACTGTCGACATGTGACAAGCAGAAAAGGGACAGTGTTGAGAGCGTAGCCTTTTATGACCCAACACACTTTGACAGCTTGGTCATCGCTTGGGGACACAAGCAATGTTGCTTTTTCATCTGACAGTTTTAAGCAAAATAACTCTCCCTCGATAAATTTGATTGTCCAGGGCGCCTTTGCAGCTGTGAATTGAAGTACGGAGACAAAAACATGTCAGTGGCCAGTAGATTCTGCTCACTGTTAGCTAGAGGAGTCATACTGTCAATCTGTAGAAGGAGAAGTGAGATAAATTGTAAGCGATATGATGGGAGCTGTTTTTATGCAACACTGCGCTCTGCTGGTTTAGAAGGTGATGACACACTGAGCTATTCAGCAGAGAGAGGGGAAAAAAAGAAGAGTTCTAGAACAGGACTAATGTAACAAGAGCTCCCCAGGGATTCAAAAATGTGTGCTTCCAACCTTGAAGCACTTACCTTCTGTAGGAACTAAGGACATTTCGCATTGAAACATTTTGAATATCTCAGTGGGGGCAGACTTTGAAAATTAGCCGCGGGGGGCACATTAGAATGACAAAAATACAGACCCTCTAAGTGAAATCTGCCTGTGGACTGTTTCTTTAATGAAGGGAAAAAGTTTAAAATGTGACGTGAAATGCAACTAAATATTCTAAACATGGAGATTTTCTATATCAGTGACTTTAACGTTTCCACATAAAGTTGATGCATCAGGAGATAAATAGATATTTACAAATATTCATATATATTCAATTTGGTGTGTACGTGCATTAAACAGCGTTTTGCTGTGAGCGTGCAGTCAGCCTGTTAGGTGTGTGTGTGCATACAAAGCGAGCGCTGGCGACAGCCTGCAGCGCTGTGCGTTTTTTGCTTGGAGAGCACATGACCCCAGGCCTCGTTCCTCCCTCAATGACCTCTGGTGTAGCCATTATTTTCTGCATTAATGATGAGCTGCAGCCAGCGATGAGAGAGATGGACTTTGTCCTGAGGCACAGTTGTGCTGATTGTGGGCAATAACAATGCCAGTAACAAAAAAAAAAAAAAAAAAGGGAAGAAAGAAAAGCAACACAGATAGAAGAAAACTCTTCTTAAGACCAGGGGTCTTAGCAGAAGCAAGAATAAGCTGCTCTTGCTTTAGTGAAAAGAAAGATCTGAAAGTCTTTGCTGCAATAAGACTACCTAGATCTCACTTTGTCAGCCCAAAGCACCAACCACCTCATCGTGGCAATAGCATTATTCATTTTTAACTGTGAATACATTAGCAGGAGGGGAGTGGATGGATTGGCTCATATAGGTTATACAAAGCTCATTACCATTGTAATCCTAAAAGTCAATGACTGCATATACGGGAGCAGTTATCAGAGGCTTAATTGAGCCTCAAACATAAGCCCAAACACTAACCTATGACAGCTCACAGACAAGACAAAGTGCAATGATTCCAGTCGCGGCAGCCACTCAGGAAATCCTGGCTCGGGGAAGATGACTCTAAATGAAGGACTTTAGCATTCACCATTATGTCTTTGGTAGGAGTCAGAGGGAACCCCCGGGGCTCTTCAGCACAGCACGGCACAACTTTTCAAAGGGCTCCAGATTAAAGTCACTGAAAGTTCCCACTGGGGTCTGGGGCCAGGATCCCATTAAGCAGCAGCCCTACCACACCGCCGGCCATAATTGTGTCGTTGAGAATTCAGAGCAGTGGTTGCTTGATAAGCGAATTTAGGATGAAATAAAAAGGCAGAGGCAAAAAAAAAAAAAAAAAAAAAAGGGGGGAAAAAAGGGTGTCTCATTGGACCCCCATTAGACACTTCTTTCACTCACTGCTAATTTGTTTTAAATGACTGAGGGAAAGGTGAGCCATTTTATAAAGCAATCAAACTCCCACTATTTCCAGGTTTGTGTGACAGAATGCTGATAGGTGAAAACACTGCACTTTATAGCCACACACTAATGCTTCTAGTGCGGTTTTTCACTGCAGGTAACTTTATTGCAGAACTTGCTTTGCAGTAGAATAACCAATAAAGGCAAGGAGGGCAATCTACTGTTTTACAGTCCCACTTAATTCGGTTGCTGTTAATAAAGGCCTACTGGTCATTTCGCTTGGAGAATACAGTGACTGAAATTTTGTATCCAGATTTTTTTGTAAAAAAATACACAGATGTCAAACTTGATTGGTTATGTTTTTTTTTAAGGTTTTGCATGTCACATTTTATTCTGACAGTTGACTTTCATCTGTATCTTGGCTGTTTGATGTATGATGTAAAATAAGAACAAAATGAAAAAACATCCTGTAAGCAAAGAAAAACATCCAACTCTTAACTTGAGATTTGCTCATATGCAACACCAGCTCAATATTTGGGCACCCATTTATCATTCATTTCAAATCAGCGGGGGTCCAAACTCAATCAACTCGAAACCTTCAAGTAGAACTTGCTATTGTGAGAAAATGGTCGACCATCTATACAAAATGTGTAAAAACAATTTAGTTGCATCGGCAAGTCTCAAGTTAGGACTTAGCTCCTTACAAAGAAAAAAAAAAAGCAAACCCTCTGACAGCAATAGATTGAACCCAAATGCGTTATTGTCAAGTGCAATAAACAAAAGACTTTGTCAACTGCTTCATGTGGATTTTTTCTGCTTCTTCTTCTCTGCCTCCTCTTCTTTTTCCTTTTCTATCTCAGCCACCAGGGTCTCAATTTCCTTGGATTCCAAAATCTATAAAAAGAGAAAAAATACAACTATCAGCTGACATGGAAATGAATACATTTCCTCAATAAATCTTAATAAACCATTTCAAAGAAGCCAGATTTCCCCGTGAACCAACCTTCAGAGGTTGGTTCCGTCTGATAACGGCAAGCTCAATATTCTTTCCTCCTGACTGGACAACCTGTGATCAGTGAATAAATAATACATAAAGAGAAATTACTATTTTTTACAGCAGATTATTAAATACATCACTGAACAACATAAAATATTGTGAAACGCCAGAGGTAATTCACTTTTTAAAAGCATGTCAAAAGAAAGACAAAAAGAAACGTAACAAATAATGATTTTATTGTGCACTTAAGCATGGCCAAAAGATTCTTTAACTTGTTGTTTTAAGTTAATATTCTTTTAACTAATTCTTACATTTCACATCTTGTTAATTTAATTTGCATAATATTTCTAAGGAGGGAGTTTCAATACTATTTCAGGTTTGGTATATTTAGCTGATAAGAAGCAGTTCAGGGTAAGAAAATTCGGACTTAACGTGACCTTACCTCAAGCAAAGCTTTGATGGCCAACTTGATGGCTTCATTGTCCCCGGCAATGGCTTCATCTGTGTAATTCTTCTCCAGAAACTCTCTCACAGTTTTTGCACTACGGCCAATGGCATTTGCCTATTTGATATTTTCACCCCCAGAAATAACCCAAAAGTATTTTATTTGCTGAACTTCTGTGACAGTACAATAATGTGAAGTAGGCTACACAGAAAAGTTTCTGACCTTCCAGGCGTGGTAGGTTCCTGATGGATCTGTCTGGTACAGCCTGGGGGTCCCATCATAGTCAAATCCAACAATTAGCGCAGAGATTCCAAAAGGTCTGCGCCCATTGCTTTGAGTGTAGCGCTTCAAACATAAAATAAATAGACATATCCTTACACTTAAAAATAGCACAAAAAGCATAAGAGTAAATAATGTCTTTAGCTTATGAATGTTACAATATATAGACACCTTAAAAAAAACAAACATGTAAAAGGTAAGAGTATTACTCACCTGTTTCAGTGTCGCTATGTATCGCGTGATGTATTCCACTGTGACTGGGTCCTCAACTGTTAGCCTATGGCTCTGACACTCAACCCGAGCTCTGTTTATCACAATACGGGCATCTGCCGTGAGCCCTTGAAAACAAACATTGAGGCAAGTTAATTAAGTTGTTGTTGGGGCCTACTGTTGAAGAAGGAAAGTTAAGATGACAATCATTTTGTACAAAGAAGAACTGTCGTGGATCTTTTTTTTTCAAAAGAAACAACAGATATGATAGCTTAAATTCTACAAAAAGCATTTTTCCAGTTTTTTTTTACGATTTACCTGCAAATGCCATGCAGACATGTTCATCCAGAGCACAGATCTTTCGGACAGTCCTTTCTTCCTGCAACTTTGCAACAGATTTCTTCTCAACACCAAGGACAACAATGTCTTTACCTCTGATTCCTACCTGTAAGGGGAAAAAGAAAGAAAAATGTCCATGTAAGAGCATGAATTCATTCAATAATGTAAAACTTGGCCTAAATGTTCTTACTTAGGGATATTTTCACTATGTAATTCTGAAAAGACTAGGAATGTGGCAACTTTCTTCGCTCCAAATTGACCAACCTTGGAATCAGATTATACTAAAAGAGTTGCTATGAAATTAAATGTTAAGAATATGGTTACTTTTACCTGCTTTGTGGGGGGGATTGGATGTTCTATATATAAAAAAGAGTTCCACTAACTGAATCTAGTTTGTTGCAGTACTCTCTTAGAACTGTGTATATTTTTTATAATCACCTCACTCTTTACAAAAAAGACTGAACTTAATATAGCAGGAAAAATATACAAAATTTCAACGACAAAATGATGATCTGTTATTCTATAAGAGGTGATGGGCAGCGTAGAAGAAATCCCCCCCCAAAAAGACCAGCCTATTAATGAGATAAAAGGTTTATTAGTTCATTTATTTTTAAAAAATGTAAAAGGAGGTTTTCAGCTTTTCTCTATTTGTAGAAAAACGTGACCCAAAACGATCCATTCAAAACTGAAAGTATGTCGAGAGTGACACAGCGACAAATAGCTAACTATAACCACCTGTAATCCAGTGAAACGTTATATCCACAAAGTTGTAATCGGCTTTATCATATTTATAGTTAAATACGATCCAGGGAGTAAATTACATTTTAAAGAGCTACAAGGGGATATCTAGCAAAAAATTCGTAAGTTATGAGTATCCGCTACCTGCTAGTTGGCTTGCTAACAGACACAGACCACGTTAGCTTTAACATCAGCTTTAAAGACTTACTGCTGTGGAACCTTTCTTTACAGCCTCCTGTGCATACTCCACTTGAAACAGATGGCCGTCGGGAGAAAATACAGTAATAGCCCTGTCATATCTTGCCGCCATTGCACTGCAAGATAATCAAAATCACTGGAAAATGATAGAACCTTTACTAAATGATTCAGCTAGTTAGCAATAAGCCGCTCACTCAGTACATTGGAAAGCGCGTGCGCATAACCTTTGAACTGGACCGTACCAAAAAGAGATCTCATCACACACAAACAAAATATGATTAAACACAAGCACCTACTTATATTTAGATTTTATCAATGGCAAGTCAAACTGATTAATGTAATTGTTCCTACAATAAATTTACGTTAAATCATGTGTTCACATTACACCACTAAATTATAATCTCTACATCTAATCATCCGTTTCGTTTAAAATAGGGGTGCACATGAAAAAAAAGTATAGTTATTTATATGTGTTATATTCCACTTAAAGTGTCTTTATTTTTATTATTCTTAATTCATATGTGTTATTCAAGCTCTGTCTACTCTCCCTTTTGTTACGTTGTCTAGTCCACATCCCGTGCCTTTTGGTCTAGCTGCGGATTGATCCATTAAATGAAAAATAGGGGAAATAGAAATACAATGTAGACAAGATGTGACACTTTTTACCTATTCAGATAAATAATTATTCTCAGTATTACGACTTAATGTCTATTAAGTATATAAACCCTCACTGATTAACCTAATTATACAATTATTCAAGACTATATAATTAAATGTGATGCTTATCCCCCTCCAACAAGGACCATTGCATTACGAAATTACATCGTATTCAGAACTGTGTGATCTGAGTTATACCAATTGGTGTTGTGTGTTAGCTAGCTTTGACTTTTATGCTGTAGTTCACTTTCTTTTTTAACAATATCACCATGTCGGTGGCTTTTGCACCTCACAGACAGCGGAAGGGTGATATAACACCCGCTGGAATACAAAAGGTAATTCATTTTTTTAGCGCTTAGCACTGTGGAGGCTATGGTATCAAATGCTGCTAGCTGTTGAGATTGTCAGAGTAGCAGTGCCCATCCAAGTCTATCTGGGCTGATCGCAACGATGTTGCAGGGCAAAAGCGCGGTGAATATGAATGTCTTTGAACCGAGGCGCCATGTGTACACTGTGAATGTTAGGTCAGTCCACCGAATTAATCTTTAATGGGGTTTTAGACTAATGGAGGCCCGCGGTTTTGTTAGCAAAGGACAGCTAGCTTCTAAGACTCGTCTTTTGTTAGCTAGAAAGGCACGCTCACATATCGCAAAACTCCCCCTTTGTTTTCATTTTACCAGAAAATAATTACCACGAAGCAAAAAACGAACCCTGGCAAATCTTCCCATGTCTATATTCTATCCTATTTTATTCGATTTTTTTCATTATTGTAAGTTACACAAGCTTTATATAAAAATGTGCAATACGTTTGCAGTTACTTGATGAAAACAACCAGCTGATCCAGTGTATAATGGACTTCCAGAGTAAAGGCAAAACCGCTGAGTGTTCACAGTGAGTAATTCAAGTCCATTGTCTACATGTTTCAGCAATTATATGTGAAATTATATGTGAATATTGATAACTCTCCATCTTCTCAGATATCAGCAGATGCTGCACAGAAATTTAGTGTACCTGGCCACGATAGCAGACTCCAATCAGAATATGCAGTCTCTTCTACCCGCTGTGAGTATTGATACTTGCTGTTTCGTTTTTCTTTTTAAATGTATTCTTTTAAATGAATGACACCCAATAAACAGTTAAATTAACATATTGTATTTAGGTTCAGCAGTCATGCTTGAACTCCTATTTTAGATGTTAATAATTCAAACCATTTGAAAGAAATCACCCAATAGCAAAAAACATGTTTACCTTTAATCTTATAAAAAGGATTGAATGTCCACCTAATCTAATGATGTCTTTTTGATGAAATGTGGTTCAAATGTGGTTTACATTTGAGTTACATTTTGATGTTTTACCATAACACAATGACCAATGGTATGTGAACACTATAGTCTGGCATTCTTCTACTTTGACCCATGAAGGTGACACAGAAACTCAGATATTTCCCCAGTTGAAATTCAAATGTATTTATACAGCATCAGTGATTTTCTCTTTTAGTAATACAAAACATGCTTTGTGGTGTTTATTGATAAGGTTTAATGAATTACCCCCATTTTAAAAACAGATTTATTTATTAATTAAAGGCCTGTATTCATCATTCTCTTTTTAGCTTTTGAGTTTTATCATTTCAGTAACTCATGCTCAGATGTTTCTCTAGACAGCTGATGTATATTTTTTTGTGTCTATGTTGTGCGCTCACAGCCACCCACTCAAAACATGCCTATGGGCCCTGGTGGCATGAACCAGAGTGGACCCCCCCCTCAGCCCCCTCACGGTCACAACATGCCCTCTGAGGGTATGGTCAGTGGTGGGCCTTCAGCCCCCCATATGCAGAGCCAGATGAATGGACAGATGCCTGGTAAGTCACCCCTTTCCGTCTCAGCATTCCTCTCTTGTCTTTCTCTTTTTTTTCCTTCTCCCTCAGTTTCTGTCTCACTTGAGTTGCCTAGCAACACCACAGAACTGTGAGGGAGGTTGTTCTGCTAAAGAATGATGTCACCTATTTGGCTGCAACTGTGGTGTTGGATTTGGACTCCATTTGATTGTGATTATCAACTGTGTTGTACTAGGGTACCACAGAAAGGTTTGAATTGCACAGAGGTTTTTGATGTTTTGCATAAAGGTAAAGCACTCTGTGTGTGTTTCATATGAAATAAGCTAACCCAAGAGCACACAATAGTTAACCAAGTGGGGGTCGGGGGCTAAAATTAATGTACCTATACTATAAATCAACTTAAATGTATACATTGTAAGTCAAGTCTTTAGAGTTGAATTCTAATCACAGGGTTTACGAATTCCATCCTGAGCAGTCGGACGCAAATCTATGCACTTTCATTTGTACTCAGATACTGTTTAAATTGACATGTATGCATTTATCAGACAATTTTACAATTTTAAGTGACTTACAAAAAGAGGGTTTAACATTAAACTACATATAAGATGCAGCTTTCTGAATTCATGAACACCAGCCTTAAGAGACACTGCAGATTGGCACGTGGCCTCAAACATACTACTGGTCTGCTTGTAAGTGCTTCATTGTTTAAGTTTGGATAACGGTAAATCTACTGATACACCCATTAGCAGTATACATGCTGGTGTTTTATCTTAGTGTCTTTTTCTGGAATTTTGTCTTTCTGAATGGAGATTGATCCAGCTAAATGTGCATTTGTGTTACACACAGTTTGCTGCAGAGGGAATAAATGCAAGCTATGAATCTCCTTTAGGTGTGTCAAGCCACTGAATTTAACTCCTTATTTCTAACTAATTTCCATCCTAAATCTTGCCTGGTGGCACTGTATTTAGTGCAGTGCTGGCAGATTTATAAGCAAACATCCCTCATCCCAGCTCAGGAGAAGCATTACTTAAGATATCAAGCACCTGTGTAGTAAGATGGCATTTAAACATGCTAACTTGATGTCTTCATGCTGAACTTTATTTGCATACATTTTTTTCCCCTTCATCTGTGTCTTTCAGGGCCCAATCATATGCCCATGCAAGGCCCCGGGCCAGGCCCCAACCAGCCTCCGAACATGCCCAGTGGCTCTATGAATATGCCCCCCAGCAGCCATGGCTCAATGGGTGGTTACAATCACACAGTCCCTTCTTCTCAGGGCATGCCAGTTCAGAGCCAAATGAATATGACCCAGGGCCAACCCATGGGCAACTATGGGCCTCGACCAAACATGAACATGCAGCCAAACCAAGGTAAAAATGTTATATTTGCAACAACTGATCGTCAGTGTCTTCATCATATTCTGCTTTTGTGTGTCTGTAATAATGCATGTATGGTTACCATCACTTACCTATATTGTTTAAGACTTAATTCTTTGATATTCTAAAGGCCCAATGATGCATCAGCAACCTCCAACACAACAATATAACATGCCTCCTGGTGGGGGTGGGCAGCACTATCAGGGCCAGCAGAACCCAATGGGCATGATGGGCCAGGTCAACCAGGGGAATCATGTCATGGGACAGAGGCCGATGCCGCCTTACAGACCTCCACAGCAAGGTATACCCCTCAGTGTGTCTCTTTCGTGTGTGAGCTGTGTGTGTTGGTCCTTCTTTTTTGTAACCCTCCCTTCTGCGTTTCTTGCTTTTGTTCCTCTAAATTTCATCTATTTCCTCTAATGTAGTCCACAAACATCTTGATGAATAAAGATGTACCCTTAAATCTCCAGCCTCTACAAAATTAGTCAAGTGACCAAGAGAAAGCTTTCTGACAAAAACTATCGGCAAGGAATCCATCCTCTTTACTCCCCCCCCCTTACACAACCAGTCCAACAACACCTTGAATCTACTTGTGTGTATGTTGTGTGTATGTGTATGTAGGACCCCCTCAGCAGTATCCAGGGCAGGAAGACTACTATGGGGACCAGTACAGTCACGCAGGACAGGGGGCCTCAGAAGGTAGGCGAAACCTCCAGTGTCGTGGAGAAGACCACCAATAACAGAACCCAGGAGCTGTGTTAAGACACAAAATGATGGAAAGAGACTGTGACAAATCCAAATTTCAGTTTCTGCATTATTTTCTGGGGAAAATTAATGCGAGTTTAGGCTCCAACAAAGACAAAAGACACAATGTAAAGTCAAGGAGACACACATCAAGTCTTGTAACGCTAACTCTCTTAGTTTGCTGGAAAGTTGAAGGACAAGGATCTTTTACCAGGCCTAACAGTGATATCTGTTTAAGAGATGTCAAATTCCAATATCAGTTGACACTTAATGTGTATTGTAGCCGAAAAACCAAAACAAACTGGCAACAAAAATCTGTATTTGTTGTCTTATCTTCCACACATTTGAAATACTTGACAATTCTACATGTGGTTGTAATTAATGTTGTATTATTAAGTTAGCTGCCATCCAAAGATGGATTAAAATTCAAAAACTCCTTTTCTCTCTTTGTCCAATTAACATTGACTTTTTTGTTGTTTGGTTTTTCTTCCCTCTACTGACTGCCCTGTTTTTCTTTGACCTGTCTATCATAGACGTTTTGTTCTTTCTTAAGACAAAAGAAAATCCTGTCATTTTTTGAACATCAGAGGCATGTTCTTAAAACTAAAGTGTTCAATTTCTCCTCTCCTCTAAACTTGTGCTGGGCATCAACTCGACACATAATCACTAGAATTGGTGTCTTTGATCCTGTCCCGTTGAGGTTATTGTTTTGTTTTTGTTGTTGTTTTTTTAACAGACATAGGGCCCGAGTCAAAGAGCGTCCTTCAAACTGATGTCTGTACATTCACTACATAATGTTTATCTATGTTTGTCATTCTTATGCTTCTTATCTTATTGTACTAAAGTGTAGGAAATAATCCTTTGTTCTCTGTATGCCCATCTCTGCATTCGTGTTGTGGGCTCACTGTTTACAATGCCTGCTATTGCTTCCTGAAAGGTAATGCTCAGTACGGCCAACAACAGGAAGCTTACCAGCAAGGCCCACCGCAACAGCAGGGCTATCCTCCCCAGCAGCAATACCCCGGGCAGCAGGGCTATCCACCACAACAACAGGGCTACGGTGAGTTAGCTTTTCTCTTTTTAGATAGAAACTCACATTTGTCCTGTAGGAGGCACCAGTGGCCCTCTTTGGCTGCCTTGTGCAGCTTTAGGAGCGACATTGGGATATTGATCGTTGCTGTAACTGTGCTAAAGGCATGTGAAGGTGTTGGTGATTATTTTATTTTTTTAATGGAAATTGTGTTAGAGAAATGTGTCTGGCAGCTGGTGAATGCTCTGGCTTTATAATATGCCAGAAAGGCTTGTTGGCAATTATAGTTGTGAGTTTATTCTCATTTCCTCTACACACTGTGTAAAAATACTTGTAAATTCTGGAACCGAATCAGTCCGGTTCACAAAGCCTTTTTGGGTTTTCTTCAAAAAGAACGGATTAGGTGTAATTCAACATTGTTTCCGTCTCCACTTGTCTTTTCAGATGCAAAGTAAATTTGAAATGATGTTGGTAAATATCCCTTAACACATAACCAGCAAAGTCTCTCTTATTCTCATGTTTGTTTTGGAGTGAAAGAGAGGAGGGACCAGTTTAATCCAACCCTTTCTGCTCCACTGGTTGTGGGTTGATCCAAGCGTTGCTGCTATAAATGATTCAGCGTCTGGGTATTCGTGTTGGTAACAATTCAGCAGTAAAAGCTGTTTGTAATACAAGTTTAGCTCTTGAGTCTCTTAAGCCATTTTTTCCACTGGAACTTTCCATCAATCGCTCTCTGCCAGAGCTCATGCTAGTAATGAGCTAGCAGAGAAGCAGAGGCTGTGAGGTGAGATCCATCTGGCACATGCCTGTTCTCTCAGGCCCCTACAAGGTTACGCACGACGGCAGAAGGCATTACGAGCACCTAACGATGCTGTGTGGGCCTCATTTAACTTCCACCCTGGTCAGGCTTTGCTCCATCCTTCACAGCAGCAGCAAAGATGGCTGAAGCGAGCGTGGGCCAGTGAAGGGATTTTTCTTTTTCCTTTTTTTCTTTTAAATGGAAGCACAGTCCTTTGCTAAAGACCAACACAATCACCTTCATGTCTCCTTGCATTGGGAGCCACTTCCCAACTCGCCCGACTCGCTCTCCGTTTTTTCAAAATGTTTCGGTTGTAGTTTATTGTAACAGGACTTACTTAATAGTTTCTGACTAAAAGAAGAAACTAGATAAAAAATAATCAGCTGGACTTCAGGGTTTTTCACATGGTAGGCATGGAGTGAAAATGTAGGTTTGATAGTTTCATCCCTAACAGGTTATTCACTTTTCATGCTTGTTTGAGGCCAAAGGCATGTTTGTTTTCGTTTGTACAGAGTATGTTGGCAAAGTAAGTTAAATAGAGGAAATCGGCAAGAGCTGCATGTGCATTCCTGGAACATAACAGTGTATAACAAAGTACATTTTCTTATTAACAGTGCTCAGCACTATTTTTAGATTAGTTCCAGACAGTCGAGCATTAGCAATTTTCAGCTTGGCTTGATGGTTTTTGTTTTTGTTGAAGGTCCGACACAAAGTGCCCCTGGACAGTATCCCAACTACCCGCAGGGGCAAGGACAGCAGTATGGGGCTTATCGTCCTCCTCAGCCCGGACCCCCCCAGGCCCAACAGCAGCGCCCTTACGGTTATGACCAGGTGAGTATAGCTACAATACTGGACAGTCCTACAAACGTATGAATTCTTCAGATGTAGTTATTCTCTTTTTTAGTTAATTGCCAGATTAAGTCGTATATGGTGTGTAGTTGTAAGCGGGTAGAGTTATGCATGCTCTCACGTATATGTCATGTGTCATATTTGGTGGATAGAACTGTTCTTCCCAAAAGAATGTGAGTGTTAGTGTCTTTTCGCTGGTTAATCTTTGTCTTGGTTATGTATACTGGCGAATGTGGTGTACGATTCCTGTGAAATATGTGGGCTTTAAAGAGGATTCGTTCTTAAACTTGATGCAGTCTGCTCCAGTGTTTAAAGGAAGATTCATGTGCTGCCCTGTATTTCCTGTGGTCTTATGTGGGGACCACAGCTACACTTTGATATCTTTATTTTTGAATATTCAGGGGCACATGAGGAAATAAAGAAGCGGGGATTTGAACCCCTGACTAGCTCTGTAAGAAGCAAAGGTAATGGTTGCTGTAAGGACCTCAGCGTCCAATCTAGACACTTGACCACCTAGCCTTAATTTGTATCTCTTATATTTCTTCTGTCTCTCCTGTCTCTATCCTTTTCAGTCTTTTTCTCAATTTTCTGCTTTCCCTTTTTACTCCTTTATTGTCATTAACCAGTGGTTGAACTGTAAGTAATAAAGTAAAGAAACACTGCATGCCTAGTCTGCAGTGAGACATCCAAAATATGCCCATAATCCCCTCACTTTACACCTTTTTGTTTATTTATACATTTCTTTTTATAATAATGAGAGTTGTGTATATGATGAACATGCATTTGACTGGGGTGTAGCGATACATGTTACTGCTCTCAGCTTTAATGGCTAATTTTGACTGGGTTGCACTTATTTTAGAGAACTTTGGACTAAGTTATCATCAAACATGATATTAAACAAATCACTCATCTTATTGGCTGTAGAAAATTTGGTCTTTACTGTTTTATTTCTCGTAGAATGGGCTAAAAGACAGTATATTTTTCCCCTCCCAAATGTGTCAGTGTGACCTCACTATATATTTTTATAGCTAACTGTAAAGTGTGTGTACTGTTACACCCCTCAACTGGAATTTTACATACATCAAACTCTTGGAATGATTTTTACAAATTGGTTGTTAGTGCATTTCCTATTATATAATTACACATATTTTGAACCCTGTTTATGAAGATATCAAACACTATTTTCTTGACTTGACTTTGCCTGATTTAAAAACTTATGTGTAGTATTTAGTAAGAAATGTTGTATTTCAGCTGTTCTGCTGCCAGAACTTGATATCACAGTTAGACATAGGTTTACTGTTTGTGAGTCCATGCTGCCACCTGCTGGTCAAAACCAGCCACTGCAGGCATAAATCATGGTGTTCTGAATGATGTTGACACCACATATTTGCACCCTATGAAAGTAAGCTTTTATTATGTTTCGGGGAAGGTCAATAATTTTTTCCTGTCACATTTCCCTCCACAGGGCCAGTACGGAAATTACCAGCAGTGAGATGGTCACAGCAATCCACACAGCTCTCCTCCAACAAATGTCTGAGTTTTGACCTTTGGTCAACTTCAAAGCAGAGTTCAATTATGATTTCGGCTCAGTTTTCCCTTGGACACAAACGCAAAATACTCAAGAATACAAGATACATTTCCCCCTCTGTTACTCTTGCCTGTAAAATTTATTCCTGTTTATCATTCATATTGACATGGTAATTTAAAAGTTCATGACTCACTGACTGCTCCGGTATATCTCAAGCAGCAATGCCTTAAAAATGGAACTGCCTTATCCTTTAGCATTGCAGATTGTGAAACGGGCTGACAAAATTTGGAATAACAAATGACTAAAACGTAGTTGCAATCTACTATGGTGCATTGTTTCTCTTTCCTTCAGTTCCCTTTCATAAGAAGCAATAATGCCAGCAGTAGGGAATTATGAGGGGACTTAAAGATGAAATGATTCAAATGTACCTGGTGTACTTCCAGCTAGGCCATGGTACATGTCTTGATGTATGTGATGTAAAATAAATATTTTATGCTTTTTAGATCAAGCTAACTTTGTATAAGACATGAAACTAGTACTAAAGCTGTGTTGTTTATTTCAAATGTGTATGTGTCTGTGATTTTTAAAACCATCTTTTTTGTTTTTGTTTCCATGTTCTTTATTAACAATGAAAACCCATCCAGCACATTTGTTCATTTTTTGTTTCTGAATTGTGTGACCATTATCTTGGACCCGCTTTGTCAGTGACATTGACTGTATGAATTCTTCATGAAAAAATAAAAAGCTATTTGGCATGCTGAAATTCCTTAAAGAACAAATATTAGCTCCATATCTGGAAATTAGAAATATTTGAAGGCCTGATAATGCATAGTCATGAGTCAAATTTGTATAATGCCTTTTTTTTTTTCTTTCCTCAGTATCTGACAGTATAATGGCTGTAGGACTGTAAAGTTGTTCTCAGAGAGGTCATATGTAGCAGATGCCACTATAGATTATGAGCTAAAGCCCTAAGATGGCCTTTTTCCACTTGAAACATCTCCATTTTGTCCATTGACTGCAAACTGGTAAATAGAACAGATAAAACTTGGTATATTTCTGACGTGATTTTTATTTTTATTTTCTTTAGTCAGCAATGTTAGTTGGTGAGTTGACGATGCTGGAATCTTGTCTCCCCTTTGAATAAACATCTAAGTTGATGTCATTTAGTGTTGTGTGTGAATAATAAACATAGTTACTGTCAAATATGTAACATAAGATGTGAAAATAATGTTCTGAAATGGATTCCTTCACAGTAAAGACTGGTTGTGCAGTTTTATATCACTGGCTTGATATCTGTATTATGGTGCATATTTTATTGATCCCATATGTACAGCAGCATAAGGAAGCAGAATTCAGTATCCTCTGGTATTGTTTATATGTGCTGTTTTAATATTTTACATGTCGCACCCCATTCAAGTGGTGGTCACATTTGTGTCATGTTAATGTAAACTGTACATTATAATAAATTGGAAGACTCTTTAATATATTTTGTGTGTAATTAATAGCTTTGGATGTTTTTTTTTTTTATTAACAGGCTACGGACACAAAAAATGTCCAAAACATTCATCTTGACGGCAGAACAAACTCAAGGCTGCTAGAGCTGTCATAATGTGACAGAATGATGTAATTGTTTTGTCTTCATCTTCGATCTGGCGGAGAGTTTCCAGCTGATAATGACCCTGCCCTGCTCAGCAGCACGCCTGCTTTGTCCAGATGCATCCAGAGAGGTCCAGAGCACATTTACACCCAAAATTACCTTCCGTGTCCCTCTTTCCTCCTTTGCTCCCACCAGAGAGGGAGAGGGACTACCTGTCACATCGCGGGGAGCGATGCAGATGGTGCACCAGATGTGTGGCCAAAGTATCTAATGACGGAGTGGGGTGTGGTGTTAAGAGACCCACAGACTGCTCGGGTCTCCTCAGCACAGGCCGGGACTATGTGCCTGTAAAATTCTGGTGGACGGAGATAGATAAAGACACGCAGTGTGGATGAACTTTCTAAGTGTGTTATCTGTATTCATATTCGATATGTGCATACGTGCACATTGCGTGTCCCTGTTTGGGATGTTGTGGCTTCGCCCAGTCACCCCACACCACCCTGCTGCTCCACAGCTGGCTGCCCCACCCTTCCCAGCTGCCACTGGGGCTCCCCCCGGCCCCTGCTCTTGGCAGAGCCCGCGTTTTGGGCGCTCCCCCACCAGTCCTCATTGGCAGCTGCTGCCCTCAGCTGTGCTCTTGCAGACGGTATTGGGGTCGGACAAAGTCACTCCTCCTGTGACCGTGTCTGGGACCATTGTGGGAGGATGAAACGGTGGCAAAGAGACTGCTTCTTACAAAAAAAGATTCTTGGATTTATGTCGACGAGCACAAAGTGGCTTTGATAGGAACGGACAAACCGCCGGAAATGTTTGAATGTATGTGACGACACCAATACTGTTGAGTATCATCTTAAATTTAATGAAAAGTGAGTCTTAGGTTGTGTTTTTTCAAGAGACATTTCGGGGAAGCTTTTAATGCCTTCCGTGATGTTTAGGCAAACAGCGAAGTGGCAGCATCATTAAAGAGGATGATTATCTTGTTCAATATTTTGATAATTATAATTCAGGGCACCTTTCAGAGGAGGCTCCTAACCACTGAGGAGAAAATGACATTGTGATCATAGCTGGCAGGCAAGATGTGATCTCTCTCTCTCTCTGACTAACTCTCCTTTTCACTCTTTCATACCCACACTCTCAGTGTGACAGAAAGTCTATGGGGAGGTATAAGAGGTAGTTATGGGGGGAATGCAGCAGCCTCCACAGTTTAATTGGAGATGTGTCACACTAAATAAATGGTGCAAAAACAAGCGCTGACTGGAAGCTTGAGGGAGGGGCCCTGGGGAGGCAGCCTGTTTTATTGGGCAGGAGCTTTGCACCGCTCTAGGGTGAAACGGGGCTGTGCACTGCTGAGATACCCTCCAACCACCAAACCACTGTGCCTCCCAGACTACAATGGAGAAAAAAGACAAAGGCATTCATTCACTCCTGCAGAAAAGCTTCTCATTGGTGCTGGGTGAGGGAAGGTGTGGGAAACCCGATTGTTTGTTGTCCAGAAAGCAAATCCATAACTGTACGATTTTGAGCAAGTGTCATCTTCCTTACAAAGTCTTACATCTTCTGTATGTAAATGTATGTTTCGAAAGGAAGGCAGCCAACTGCCTCCAGCCTATTCCATTTCTTTGGATAATCCATATATGACCTCCAAGTAAGTGAGGGATTTTTTTTTTCCAATATAATATCAGTGTTGATGTAACTGTTGTCTTGCCTTGCTCATGCAGCGTGTGTGTGTGTAATAGCACCTTAGATTCCAGAGTTCATGGCATGAGTTTTGATTTACCTCTACAGTGCACTGCAGTAATTGGATGTGACACCATTCTCTCTGCTCTCCCTGGGGGTTATAACAGGAATCTGACTATTATGGCCCTAGTCATGAATATGTCACGACAGCAGCAAACAAAGGCTCCTGATTTGGGGAAGAATCCTCGGTATGTGCGTCGTATCTGCACTGATAGATGAGATTATTGCGGTAAGGCTAAATTAGTTTTCTGTAAGTTAATTTTGCCATGTTTAAATGAATGATTAATTGTTTGTAACATCAATAATGAAACTGAAATATTACAAAGGAAAGGTTCTATTCCATATTAATCATTGTGTTAGTGGGATTCACTGCCGTACCGATGTGGGAGAGCCATTTTGTTTGATTTCAAAACAACTTAAACTTCTTTTTTTTTTGGACCAGACACGCAGGCCGATGCCTAACAAAGACTGTTTTTCATGCATTTGATGTACTGCGTTTTGTTTAAATTCCTTTTTTTGTTGAGGGTTCAGCCATCGAATGGAATTGAGTGTGATATTTTGTATGTGTTCTGGCCTCAAAAAAGTCGTCTCCGGGTAAAATAGCAGGTATGCTGATATCAGTATTCCCACAGCCTACATAATTGCTGTAATTTGCTTTCCCTTTGGGTAATCTGTAAACATGGCTGTTTTGATGTTTTTGGCATCCTCCATTGGCTGAGCTCTCTCCTCCTCCAGTGGAGCCCCCATCCTAGCTCAGGGTGACACAAATAGATCCTTCCCCAGAAGGTGCACGTAGTTCCACATGGGCACAATCAATACAACCCAGCCATCATTGGAACTGTGGCAGTATTAAAAGCGCCCCGTTAGCCGGTTCTCACCACGCCGGTATTTTAGGGAAATAAATCTATTGATCTTCCGGGGCCTCTGGCAGAGCATTAACCTGGGTCCACAAATTAGAACGTGCTCATCTGGACACATCTGCCTGCAATGTTCCAAAAAAGCCGGTCCCAGGGAGAGAAAAGGAAGGCAACGAAGCCTGCTGTTTCCAGTGATGAGAAGAGCTCTACTTGACGCCCATGTCGGAGCAGGGGAGACGTCTGGATGCCCAGGACTTCCATTAGAGGCCCAGGATGGTGGTATGGGTCGATGTTGTAAGGTTTGGTTGGGGGTACTCCATCTCAAATCAGTGTGGTTCCTACCCCACGATGCAGAGGGAAGGGGGGCTGACCCACAGTAAAGCTAAGCGCCTGACTGGAGGGACAATAAAAGAAAGGCTTGCTATCATTACTGCTTCTACCAGAAATGTTGAAAACAGTCGTTTTCTTCCACAATTTTATCAGTATTGTTAGAATGTGCTCCTCTTAAGGCCACTGTGAAGAGCTAAAACTCATTGATTTGATACATTTCAACATATTTTAAACACTAAAAAAAGCCGGCCACAATGTCAAATTTAATTTAAATACCTATCGTTATATTTGATATTCACTATGAAAGCAGAGTACAGGATATGCAGTTTAGTATAGTGTGTTCATTTATGTGAATATGTACGCTGTATTTGATTCAAGAGGTCAGTATCTGATAAACAAAACATAAAACATTAGGACAAGCACCCTTTGGTCAAGAATAATTTCTTTTACAATCATTTCTCCACAAATTCAACTAATCTGTGAATGACCTGTGACACCAGCCCTCATTTCGAAATAGAAAAATATTTAATTTGAATATCTACAATATATTGAACTTTTGGACAACATTGAAAATGATGTCCGATGGGACATTTGCATGCTCACCATTTTGTGAACAAGAAAAGCGATGTATCTCTACACAACTACACAACACACTTCAGAAGCCATCGCGCACACAGACAGACAGAGACACTTTGGAAACTTTCCCTTTTCCTCTGCCTGCCCTAACAGTGGGAAGCCTGGAAGTTCTCTGCCCCAGTTCTCCATGTCCTTGAGAGTTGTGCCTTCGGGCCGGGGCTGGTGGGGTCCCGCAGTGCACAATGTGTGCTTCTCACTCAGGCTCCCGCTGTACTCCGCCACCCCTGCGTGGCTCTGGAGAGTTGCCAAGCTCTGAGGGGTTGTCGGTGTGAGTGGGGGCGTGCGCATGTTACTGCAAAACCCCTCAGAACATCTCACTTCTTTCCCCATGGCAGGCACCCGGATATATAAATCACTTTCCAGGATTGGTCAACTACAAAAGGATGATGGGATGATATTGCTATGAATAACAGTGTGACATGATGTGCAAATAACTAAAGGTCTTACTTTCTACAATCTTACAATCTACTTATGGAAAGGTTAAACCATTGGGTAGATCGTGTGATCCCTGCTAAGTGACATCATCGAAAGCCTGTGTGGGATGTGCATGAAATGTAAAGAAAATGATTCATGTTATCATTTAGGCTGATTTCATCTTTGCCTTTTGACTGAACACCATGAGAAAAATTCAATTATATAAAGTGGTCATAATTTGTAGCTCTATGTATTTGACAAAACTGCTTATATTTTATTCAGCATGTATGTGTAGTTTTTTTTTTCCTTTTTTTTTTTGGTAATTAATATGGATATTGGCCAAGAGCAAAGATAAAGATCCATTTTCTAATATTTTGTCCTTGGATTGTGCACTCAGGGAATTCACTCCCCTTCTTCTCTTTCGTTTCCCTGGCTAAGGCATGGGGAATTGGTGGGATGAGAGGCTATTCCCTAAATAGCCCATGGCAAGAGGTATCCTGATTAGCATGCTGCCTGCTCTCTGGCAGCAGTCCTCCAGGCCACCAGCGCTATCACTTATGTGCTGTTTGTATTTGTAGTTGATAGTGTGTGCTGTTATAATTGGAATGAGCTCAGGAACCTCGTTTGCTTTTGATCCGCTGCCAGCCACTCAGAGTGCTACTGGGCCACAGCTCTCACCTCAACACTCCCAGTGGATCAGGAGAAACTGCAACGCTTATGTTCTAAAAAGCGCCTGACAGCATCTCACTCAAGGTCGAACAATGCAATGGTAAGAGTGCAGAGCGAAAGAAAAAGATATGAAAACAAAAGTTAGAAAGATTTTTCATGAAACACCAGGTATTGAGTCAGTTGGTCTCAAATGCCACATCAGACTCTTGAAAGTGAGAGGTAATAGGCCCGTATAGTTTTCCCGGTTAATGTCAATGACATACAAGGATGTATGGATTTTCAATAGGGAAGATCTCGGGCTGAATAAAAAAAATTTACATCTTGAACAAGCAGTGTGAACAAATGTAAACACAGACTCTGTCAGACTTGAAAAAGCACAAGCCTTTTCAACACTGTCCCTATAACTGATTACATTTTTAGGTCTTGCAGACTTTGGCGCCACCTGAAATTGTTGATTGTAACAACAAGTTACTACCACAACAGAAACTAAATGTGCGGCAACTGCTGTGAACACTTGCAGCGCCAGTATCCAAATTTGTCCTTTCATAAAGAGGCCATAGATAATCCCATGAGTACTACTGATTTATTGTTTTAAAGATTCTTCACAGCAGGGGGCATTGGAGGGATTAAGTTAACATAGAGGAGTTAAGCGTATTCTCTCAGTTAAATTATCACATAATATTTCTATTTGATCACACTCTTCAACCTTTAAATACATGAAATGTAGCATTTTAATGATAATAAAAAACTATTGTTTTTGTCGATGAAGCTGTGCGTCTGATATTAGTCATATGGCAGCATCACACCTACGTTGTATTTATGTCATAATTGAAGATGTTTTAACAGATCTTTTGCCCCTGTCGGGTTAATATAACTTTGACTGTTAATCCACTCAATTGCCAGTTTATAACTGGATACAGTTGGAAGTGTGTTTCTGGTACTCAGATGCGTTAAAGCTAGCACCAATGTTAACAGTAGTACAAAAACAGACTTCAAAGTTACATTTTGTTGGACTGTGTTGACACAAGTCTTGACGTGCTCAGAGTATGCTGATGCAACATGCATAAACGCCGCCGGGGATCTGGAAGAGGAAGATAAATGGGATTCAGCCGTTGGGCAATGATTTAAACCTCTGTTAGATATTTGTGCTTTACCAAAATCAATTCACCATCAGAATGTGACTGACATGATCATAACTTAATTTTGCACTCAATAGCATAAC